TATATCAAAGAAGAGATAGTCAACAAATATAAAACACAAATTATTTTAACAAATAATAAGACAGAAGAGCTCAAAATAATACATGGGAAAAGAATTATTTTCGTTTCGGAATATGATTTCGGTAGACTTGGTGATATATTTAGGAAATATATAACAAAAGGAAAAGTTGGCTTTTTTTCAGAACTATATGAACGGCAATATAATGTAGTTCAGGAAAAGCTCATAGAAATGTTCGCTAATCATAAGCAATTAGAGTTTATAAAGTGCACAATGAGAGCACAGGATATCGAAACCGAAGTTGAAGCGGTTAAACAAATTTCGCTGTATCATGTCAGGGAAAGCATACATTCTGGTGTACAAGAAATAAAATTTACTATCCGAAATTACCAGAGCTAATACAAAGAGTAACCAACCAATGCGAAATATGCCAAGAGGTAAAATATGATAGGAGACCAATCAGACCAAAACTTTCGCATACGGAAACACCTACAAAAAATAATGAAATTATCCACATAGACACATATGTTATAAAAAGATTTAATTTTTTAACAATGATAGATAAATTTTCCAAGTATGGAGTAGCATATCCTTTAAATTACAGAAACCATATTACTATCATTGAACAACTGGAAGACTACTTTACCAAAATAGGAAAACCAAGTAAAATAATAGCAGATAATGAATTTAATGTGACAAGGATTAAGGAATTTCTAAGCAATGAAAATATAGAAATTCATATAACCAAACCCAACAGCCATACGGGTAACGCAGATATTGAAAGATTCCATAATACCATTTCAGAAAAGTTTAGAATGTTATATAAATTAAACAAAGGCATATCCGTTAAGCAGATAATACAAAAAGCTATTAGAAATTATCAGCCGTGCTCCCATTTTCAGAATCGCAAATATTTTGCGTTTTACTTTTCAAATCGCATAATTACGTGCTCCAATATTCGCAAATCGGAAAATTTTTGCGGTTTCAAATCGGTTGCCAATGAGACGGTGGAATGAAAAGTAAATGTTAAAATTAACATAAATAACAAACTAGCTTAGTTTAAATTTATTTTTGATTATGCCCATTATATTTTGCGATACTTTTGGCGTCCTAAAATTAACTTTTTATGTTGATTTTATATGTTTAATTCACTATTTATTATACACATCTCCGTTTTGGGCAACGACAATTTATCGAAGCAACGAAGATTTACGATTTGGTGCGGACGATACATGTGCGATGATTGTTGCATACCTTCAAGGGATGACTTTTAAGAATGCTGGAAACGATGTGGAAAATGGAACAAAAAGTTGCGAATTCAGGAGCACCCAAAAATAAAAACGTACGATTTTTACAAAAACGCAAATCGCAAAAGTACGTGGAAATGGGAGCCCGGCTGTATAATTACAGGTTTCATTCTACAGTCAAAATCACGCCGAACGAGGTACATAATAACAAAGTGGATAAAGAAATTGTAAGAAAGAGTTTGGAACAGACAAAGGAANCCAACAGCCATATGGGTAACGCAGATATTGAAAGTTTCAATAATACCATTTCAGAAAAGTTTAGAATGTTATATAAATTAAACAAAGGCATATCCGTTAAGCAGTTAATACAAAAAGCTATTAGAAATTATAATGACAGGTTTCATTCTACAATCAAATTCACGCCTAACTAGGTACATAATAACAAAGTGGATAAAGAAATTGTAAAAAAGAATTTGGAACAGACAAAGGAAAAGTCAATCACCAAACTGAATAGGAACGGGGAAGAATATACAGAGCAAAGAGCAGAAGGATTCATAAAAAATTACAAGGCAGTTAGACATAAGGAACAACCCAAATATAGAAAACAAAAATTGGAGAAACNAAATAGTGTACCATGGATGACGACGACAGACAAAATATACAAACACATCTTTTACGGACAAATTACACAATTAACCACCAAATCAAAATAAATGATTATTTCGCCTCAGCTATTGAACATCTCAAAGAAATTATTAAAAGAGAGAGTAAAAATAGAAAAAGAGTTTAATTCCATAAACAAATTCATGTATGACGAATATAAACAAAATTTATATTTAGATCAATATACAAAGATTCAATTATTGAAAAGTAAAATTGAACACCTTCAAGAATACATTGTATCAGCTAAATATGGGATAATACACCCAAATATATTAACAAGCGAGGAAATAGTAAAATATAATATCGATTATATAGTCCGGTCAAATTAGACCAAAAATAGGAGTGAAGTTACAAAATTACCACCCAGCTGAAAATTGGTAGGATTGTTCAAAACACCATCATAAATGAAATCAAGAAAGTCCCCATCGATCCGATACCTGGAAAAAAAGTTGTTCGGGGTCAAAGGTCACATAAACGGGTTTTTCGCGATTTTCAGCAAAACGGTAAGTTTATCATAAAATTAGTTTAGGCAAAAATAGTATATCAGATAATTATCTATAACAAATGTCTAAATACTTTTTGTCCAAAGAGCCACCGTTTCCGAGATAAAACGATTCAAAAAGTTGGAAGTTCGGGTGTACCTGGCGTATGAGTAACACGCTTTACTGCTCGTATTTCATACAAAAAATCTTTGCGCATTTTCATTTGAACACTCATATTTCGTATTTATCCATCGATTTTCTTCATCAGTAACTTGATTTTTTTTTGTATGTAAATAATTATGCAAAAACACCTGACGGTTCAACTGACAAATATGAGGAATTTTTAAAGCAAATAAACAAAGTAGTAACATAAAACCACTTCCGGCCTATTGGTAAAATTGTACACAAAAAGAGTAATTGAAAATTAAAAAGACAACAAATTTCCAGGAATTATCGAATTGAACATTAAATGATTGTTAAGCAGTTGGATTAAATACACAAGCCGAAATTGTGAATAAGCAACCACCAGATTCAGTTAAATGCTTCCTTTTTGCTGTAAAATTGAAGATGTATGAAAACTAAAATATAATTGTTATTTTTGTCAAATATTTACCAAATAATTATGAAACTTTATCCACCCATTTATTTCTGTGCGCTTTACAACTATACATGAGAAAATGAAAATCAAAATGACTTCTTCCAAATAACCAATGCCGGATCGGAGATTTAATTTATTAGGCGTCCTTTTAGTAGCTTTTTGCGAAAAGTTTCTTTGCCATACTAACTACTTAACAAGTATTTGAGCAAAATATTGCTGATCTTGGTTAAATAAGGTCCAATTTCATAATTAAACACTTGAAATTCCTTTTGTAAAAGTTACCTTTTAGTTAAAGTGTCACTTAAATGTACTTTAAGCAAAAATTGTTTTCATAATACAATGGCAATTGAATAATAATAAAAGGTTTATTTAAATGGATATAACAAAGGGAGCATTGCTGATTTCGGCAAAATTTCATCTGCTGATTGTCATAAATATGTAATTATAACTACGAAAATGACATACTTTTTTTCTTACAAAAGGGACCTTTATGTCATTTAAATTTCTCTTTTGGGTATTTAACTAATGAGCCTTTATGCGGAACTTTATCTTTAAAGTGGCTTTATGGAATCGATTAGCAAAATAAAGCATCCTTTAAATTTTGAAATATTCTTTAATTTTGTTATGAAATCGGCCCTAAATCATTTATTTCAAAGAAATATTTTATTTATTTTGGAGATAAATCTACTTTGTGGAAAGTGAAGTAAAACGAAGTAAAATGAAGTGACGAAGTGAAGGCTTCCAAAGTGAAGTGACAGCGTCAGTACTGCTCACTAGTAATGGGAAGGGAGCGCACAATGTTTGGTGTGTCATGAAGAAATCGCACGGGCGCATTTCCCCTTATTCCCAAATATTTAATTAATAAATTATTACATACATATGCACATAAATAAAAAGATGAATTTAATATAATGCTAAAATCCCTTTTCCTTTAATTCAAAATAAGAATATTAATACAAATAAATTCAACTATTGGTTATAATTTTAATTTTAATTCTAATAAAAAATCTAAGCAAGCAATGAAAGTGAATTAAACTATATTAAAAGGTTAATTCTATAATAATAAAATAAAAAATACCTTTTTCTTATAATTTGTAACTCGAAATAGTTGACAACACTGTTTGCATCAGACGCGTGAGCGACTAATTCTCTTTATTCTCTCATCGTTTAGTAAAATTGAAATATGTGTATGATTGTGTGAGTTTTGGTCATCTCTGCTTTAGACCAGCGATGGGCAGAGAGAGCTTTTATTCTGCGCGCCCCTATACAAAATAAATAGAAAGCTTAAAAGAGCTTTGCCCGAGGGCAAGGCAGTGCCCATCGCCGCTTTAGACACAACTAAACATTTAATGCTACCTTTAAATATAAAGTGAGCTTTAAAGTTAAAGGTTACTTGAGAAAACGGCCCTTTGTGTCTTTTTTATTCCAAAATAAACGTACATATCGATGGCTGAGTGGAAGATCGACCTATCACGGCAGCCAGTTCGAAAACGCTCTATCTCAAAAAACTTTTCAAGAACGCCTTATTTCAGAATTCGTTTCAAAAATGCCTTGTCTCAGCTGCCGATTCAAAAACGCCCTATATCAGCATATTTTCAATACATTTTGAAGTGAGATAGGGCGTTTTTGAACCGAGTTTTAAAATAGGGTGTTTTTCAATTAAATTCTGAAATAGGGCGTTCTTGAAAAGTTTTTTGATATAGAGCGTTTTCGAACTGGCTGCCGAGATAGGCCGATCTTCCACTCAGCCATCGATATGTACATATAAAAAAAAATCGATATATTAATTTAACATGTTCAAAAAAATAACATAATATTTGAAGGGGAAAAAAGTTAAATTTCGCAGGCCTGTGTAATTGTTGGTTTTGGAGGACATTGTTGTATCCGCCTCTCCCTATATGTATTTCATTCAGGCTACGCCCATGAATATATGTGTACAATCATACAAACATACAATTTATTTAAATATTTCAGTTATTAATGTTAAGCGAAATGAAAAAATTCAAACCTTACCTTTGGTGAAAATATGTTCAAGTAGAGACAATCTTCATCCATGTCCGTAATACCTTTGGTGACGCCTGTATATCGTACTGGTTGTGGGCACGCCGGACCATAGTCAACGGCTTGCAATAGCTGCCATCCACGGTGTAGACGTGGTGGCTTAAAGCGACCCTCGAAGGTTGGTGGTAATGCATAAGGGATGCCCAAGAAAACTGAGCATTCGCCCATCACTCGGTCAACGGTCGAATGGTAGGGTCTGTAGAAAGATTTCGGATCGGGATTGTCGTACATGTAGACTTTAAATCCTTGCACTTGTCCGTAATTGGTCGTGACGTAAACATCGCGCTCTAATGTCAGCGAGTCACGTCGCTGTTTGCCCTGCAAATCTTCGCGCCAACCTGCCAAAACGCCAGGGAAGGGAGCATGAGCAGCGTTGGGATTGTTCTGCAAAATAATATTTAAATAAATAATTAATATCGTAAGTATATGTACGTATATATATATAATGCGTAAGGACATGGGTGTGAAAAGGTACGATTAAAAATGCGATGGTATTTTACCGCGATAAATACTTATGCAAACGATCGTTAGCGAAAACATTTCGTGGGTGTTAGATTCTATGCAAAGAGTTTATGTATCCACAAAAGGGGTATTCTTGTTTTCCTATGAGACAGCTTTACAAACTGTGCAATCTGTGCACCGCGACAAAGTTTGTCGCGCGAATAGCAAACAAAAGAATTCCAGGCTATTCCTGAATGTATGGCAATTTTTTATTTTATAATTTAAAATTTTTCTGATTTTTATACCCGAGCGCCCTGCACCTACCTGCCTACGACCATGCTTACTATCACACTTAACTTTACTTACTAAGTAGTGTTTGCCACAATATGAATGGCAAAGTTCAGGGCGTAAAATAATAACTGTCGCAAAGGTTTTTCGAAAAATAAAAGAGTCCTTTAAAGATTTTGCGAAAAAAAGTATTTTTTTGCTAACTTTATAAATAGTTTACTTTAATTTTATTAATTAGTTTTGAAACTTTAATCCTTATTTCCATTTGCCAGCTTTGGGAGATAAGTACATGCTTTTATCAGGTGTATTTTTTCTTAGATTTTGTATAAAAAAAAAAGAAAACTGTATAGGTATAGGGTTGGTCGAATGAATGGCCTCCTAGTCACCAGTTCCGAGTCTTTTCGATTGCTGAGTATGAGGCCTTATGTTGGACAAAAGACGGAGTATAAAGGAGCCAAATGGAGGAAATTAGCCTATGGTTAGAGAAGATATCGTCACTACACACGAATAAAGGCGCGCTAGTGTTTTGACGGCGAAAAAAGGCGCGTAAACAAATTTGCGAAAAAAGATGCTTATGAAAAACTTCGGCGAAGTATGTTGAGTCTTTGACGCTGAAGTTTTTTTATGCGTCTTTTTTCGCCGTCATTTTTTGAGCTCGCGCCCTTAATTGTGTCTAGTGACGATATGTAATAAAGTAACCGACGAAGATTTGCGTGCCGCTTGAGCTTTTCTCTCAAAGTGTTTACCGCTGGTAAACGCAAATGAAGGTTAAAATTTAAAAACTTATTAATAAAATCTAAGTAAAATCTGTGGATGATTAACAATAAACTACTTTTTTCGCAAAATCTATAAAGTTCCCTTTTATTTTTCAATAAAACCTGTGAAACAGTTATTATTTTACGCACTATATATGACAAAATATTAATAGCTGGAAAAAGGAGTACAAAAGAAGTACAAAACTAAGAAAGGAGTACATTTCCAGATATTTTTTTTGGGAGTAGATTACAAAAAAGGAGTACGTTTACTCCCAAACGCAGTACGTCTGGCAACCCTAACTGCAGCAAAACCAAGCTGTTGGGAAAACCCTGACGAAATGCGTACAATTGAAACCATGAGTTTGAAGATTGCGGAAATTGATGTGAAAATTTCAATTTCATATTAAATATATTTATGTATGCATGTACGTACATATGTATGTAAAAATGTAGTTTCGATTTAAGAAAATCGGATAAAGTTTTACTTTGGGTTAAGCAGACAACCATAATCGTAAAATCCGATTTGTGAGTCCAGATACATATGTACATACTTAGGTATGTATGTATGTATACAACGCATCGGGACTGATTTTTTTAAATATACATACACCTCTAATTTTAGTATTTATATTAAAAAACCCAGTGAAATTAAAAAACTATCACTTGCATTTGGGTTTGCTCAATAGCGATTTGAGCTGTCGCACAGTGTTATCAAAAAAAAAGTTATCAATGAAAATTCGTTTCTCTTGAGATCAAGTTATATGGCTGCGTATGAATGTAGATATGTACATATTCCGAAATTTTTTTTATTTGTGAAGGCTCTCAAGAAAAACTAAAAATTCATATAAAATTAGGCACAACAAGTGGAAAATAAATTTGCTGCTATAAAAAATTTCTTAAATCAGTATGCAGCTCTTAAGAAAAAAATGTTCGTACATCTCGTCGCTACCTTGTCAAACTATCGAATGTGAAAATCTGAACTTTTCAGGAGAGCAAAGAAACAGTTGTATAAAATATTGTTGTCATTAGACAAAAGTGTGGGATTCGAAATTTTGTTAAAGCCAGTATCCTCTGCTTCTAAGAAGACCAGAAATTTGACGATTTGCCAACTTACGTATCATTCTAAACGCATGCGCAAGGTATCGTAAATCAAAAAGCAGTCGAATCCCACACTTTTGTCTAATGACAACAATATTTTTTACAACTGTTTCTTTGCTCTCCTGAAAAGTGCAGATTTTCACATTCGATAGTTTGACATGGTAGCGACGATATACTTATTTTTTCAAGGAAATTTACAGCAACCGCAAAGTTATTTTCTTGCATCAGAAATAATGAAAATATATATCTCGTGATATTTCTTGAGCACTACAATGATATATTTTTTTTTGTTAATCAACGAAAAGATTTTTTTTAATACTTTTGTTTTTTATAACAAACAAACGACTTTTTTCTGATATTTTTTCTTATAAATAACGATACGAGCTTTTTTATTTGCATATCTGTGCCGTTCAATTAAAGTAGCATAAGCCGGGGAAAGTTTAACTAGCCATAGATATAGTTCAAGATGCCCTTTTAATAGAAGCTTAATAAAAATATAAACATTTTCAGGAGAAACTGGTTATTTTTTAATTCAAAGTAAATAATATATGTATATAATTCAGATGAACGTAGTTTTTCGTACATAAGGGTAAGATTGCAAGCAAAAACTTTCTCTGAGCCATAATTCTTTAGTTTCTGTAATTAAATAGGCAAAACTTCTTAACTATTGTACACTAAAAAAAAAGTAACATGATTTTTTCAAACAGATCTGAGCGCACATGTGCTCATGTGTATTTAATGTGTATTTAATTCATCTAATGTCACACAAATTATTTCCATTGCAGATAAAACCTACCATGTCTCACTTTTGAGTGGCATCACTGTTTTGTTGTGTACATTTCTTTGTTTATATATTTTGTGGGCAGTTTATATCAATATCGAAAGTGATTTGTGAGCGATTTTCAATACATTTGTTATTGAAATATAATTAAATGAAGTGCGCGGTAATCGATTGAAAAATAGGTACGAAAATAAATCGGTTAGCACAAACATGCGCCCAAAAATTACTTTTTTTTCTCTTTATGCTTCATCTTGCGTGGTTGGATCATGAGCCTATAAAAAGTTTTCGACAAAAATAAAAGAACATGCTTTCATGTTAGAAAAAAAAAATTACGCGACTTGTATTTGCATGTTCAATTGTCATTTTTAACTTAGGAATATGCAAACACACCGTGCTTCTATACAATTTTTCATTCTACTACTATTTTGTCCGTACTACTTTTTATCTATGTTTTTAATACACTTTTGCTTTTGCTAAATGCCAACCCTCCCATACATACTTGCTTATGCCCTGTATGCAGCTCTCAAGAAAACGGTCAAGAAAAATTTGCCATTATTTCGTGTGTGCCCAAGGAATTTTGACATTTTTGATACTTCACAGCCTGTTGCCTCACTCTTTCCTCAGGAAATAATGGAACGGGCATATATTTCTGTTGCAAACCTGGGTTGCCTTGTGCTCTTTTTTCACAAAAAACTTTAGAAAACCGTAGTAGAAAGCGTAGTAAATTTTTTAAGAACTGCGTACTGCCTTAAGGAAATTTGACTCAAGAAAATTTCTTAGCCTTTTCTTGTACGTCATTTTATATGGAGTTTTTGCTTTTCTTGAGAGCTGCATACAGGCCTTTACAATGTATCCGCACCAGGGATGAAAAATGGAAATTTCAGATTGTACCTAATATCATAAAATAAATGTACCTAAATGAGACAGATTGTACCTAAAAAAAGTGACATCATTCATTTGTAGTTTTTTTTATACATTTTATTTAAAACGTGAATTCAAAAGATGGATGTATTTTAAACATGATTAGGTTTTTTTTAACTGAGCCTATATCTATAGACTATAAGTCTTATAGGAATCGGAGAAGCGTTGTTATACCCGAGCGCACTTGTGCACAAGGGTATATTAATTTTGTTCACATAACGGTTGTTTGTAACAGCCAAAACGAATCGAGATAGATATAGACAAATGTATACATAAATGATCAGGATGAAAAAAGAAATCGNATACATAAATGGTCAGGATGAAAAACGAAATCGATTAAGCCTTGTCTGTCTGTCCGTCCGTCTGTCCGCTGTCCGTCTGTCCGTCTGTCCGTCCGTCCGTGTACACGATAACTCGAGCAAAAATTGAGATATCTCAACGAAATTTGGTATGTAGGTTGGTATTGGAAATGGGCGAAATCGGACTGTAACCACGCCCACTTCCCATATAACGGTAATTTAGAGAAATACAAAATCTTCGATAAATCAGTAAATATTGAAGCTAATTTATTCAAAATTGATGCTTGAACAATCTTTACCAAGAAATACGTTAATGGTAAAATTTTGGAAAAAGGGCGTGGCACCGCCCACTTATGATCACATATATGTATATCGGTAACTGTTCTACCAATTTGTACCAAACTCGGTGTGGTTATTGTGCTTGGCACATATAAGCAAAACGTTGAAAATTATTGAAATCGGACTAAAATTACGGCCGCTTTTCATATAACGGTAAATTTCAGAAATGCTTGAAACTTCAATATTTCGAAATTCAGGGACGCTAATTTACTCAAAATTGATACACCCCGGCTTACCATCTAGCGGTAGGTTTCGGAAAGGTGAAAAAACATATATTTAATAGTTGCGCCGGGTATTTAATGTTCGGCTCCGCCCGAACTTAGACTTTTTTACTTGTTTTTGTCTAACTTTGACTACTGGAAAATATTGGCGAAAAAGACAAAAAACACACTTTGCGAAGTATACTTCGTTATCCAGCTGTTTATAAAACAACTTGAAAAGTCTGATAATTTATCCGATTCCT